AATTCGCTGCTTTTCTACAATACATATAACGCTTTTAATAAAAACCTCTCAAAATGCCGAAACAAATTACAAAGAAATGCTTCATTCTGTAAAGAAACAATTGGTACTTGCCGAATAATTGGCAGATTTTACGCAAAATGCTTTTTTCATATTTTGAAATAAATATAGTCATTTTATATATATATTGTACACTATAATGTTAAATAAAAATGTTACACTGTGCGCAAAAATGTATATAATGTCGAACCATTATTTGCAATATAAAATCGAATTTTTATCCAAATATTTTTTTTTCTCATTTCTAATTCGAAAACTCCTTTTTTGGGAAATTTTTTTAACAGAATTGACTGCTATTTGGTATTTGGAATTGACATTGAATAGCAAACGTTATGCCGAAATTTGGCATAACGTTCTGAATTGGGCCTAGAGTGATGTCTGTCACGTAGATATAGCTCCCATATATAGTTTCGTCCGATTTCATGTAAATGGTGCACCAAAGTCCCTATATATCATTCGATTTGCACCAAATTTGGCATAACGAAAAGTCCACACATATCTTCCGATTTGCACGAAAAATATTTAAAAAATTTGAAAATCGGTTCAGATTTAGATATAGCCCCCATATATAGTTTCGTCCAATTCCATGTAAATGGTGCACCAAAGTCCTCATATTCTTCTATTTGCATAAAATTTGGCACAACATACTGAATTGAGCCTGGAGTGATGTATGTCAAGTTTCGTGAAAATCGGTCCAGATTTAGATATAGCTCACATATATATTTTCGTCCGATTTAATGTAAATGGTGCACCAAAAGTCCACATATATCTTCCGATTTGCACGAAAAATATTTAAAAAATATGAAAATCGGTTCAGATTTAAATATAGCCCCCATATATAGTTTCGTCCGATTCCATGCAAATGGTGCACCAAAGTCCATATTCTTCTATTTGCACAAAATTTGGCACAACATACTGAATTGAGCCTGGAGTGATGTATGTCAAGTTTCGTGAAAATCGGTCCAGATTTAGATATAGCTCACATATATATTTTCGTCCGATTTAATGTAAATGGTGCACCAAAGTCCACATATATCTTCCGATTTGCACGAAAAATATTTAAAAAAATATTTCTTCGAATATTTATATAGGCGTGGATTAAAAAAAATTTTTTTTTCAAAAACTCTTGATTAAAAATATATATATATATATATATATATATTTTTTAAGGACTTAAAAAATATTTGTTCAGACTTGGATTAAAAAATATTTTTTCATAGACTTCAAAAAAAAAAAAAAAAATATTTTTTTCAAGGACTTATAGATGCGTGGATTTTTTTAAATAATATTTCTTCAAGGACTTAAAGAGGAGTGGATTACAAAATATTTGTTCAAGGACGTATAGAGACTTGGATTAAAAAAATATTTTTTCATAGACTAGAGATGTAGATTAAAAAAATACATTTTATTCAAAGACTTATAAATGCGTGAATTAAAAAAATATATTTCTTTTTTTAAAGATTTATAGAGGCTACGATTTAAAAAATATACACATTATCAAGGACTTATAGTGGCGTAGATTTAAACGAATAATTTTGCAAGAACCTAAAGTGACGTTGATTTAAAAGAACAAATATTTTTTAATCGACTTATAGAGGCATGGATTGAAACAATTAATATATTTTCTTGCACTTATAGAGGCGTAGTTCAAAAAATATTTTTTTCAAAGACTTATAGAGGTGTGGATTAAAAAAATATTTTTTTCAATGACTTATAGAGGAGAGGGTTAAAAATACCTTTTCAAGAACTTATAAAGGAGTGGATTAAAAAATAATTCCAAAGACTTTTAGAGGCGTGGGTTTTTAAACGTATTTTTTCAAGGAATTATAGAGGCGTGAATAAAAAAAAATATTTTTTCAAGGACTCATAAATGAGTGGATTAAAAAAATCAAGGACTTATAAATGCATTTTCGAGGACGAAAAAAATATTTTTTCTTGTACTAAACCAATAAAATTTATTTTTAGCAAAGCGTTTAGCATCTCTGATAAGGTGGGTGCCATCTTCGGACGTGAAATTTTATATGTCGTTTCCTAATTGGTTAAATCTAGGACATTACATACTAAAAATCTAAAAGGATACATTTACTATGTTGTTATTCAAAATATATTGAAAGCCTAAAAAAAATGTTTGATATCATGTTTGATTAAAAAAAAATATATTGAAAACCTTTGGAAATTTGCATTATAAAAGGGATAATTTGAAACCAGAAAAATGTTAATTCTGAATAGAATAATTGACGCTACAATTGAAATGTTTTGAATTGCATCTGGAAAAGGTGTATTTGGGATTACTATAGTAGTACTTTTATTATTCGATTTGTAATTCAAATAATTTCATTTAAATTTCTAAACATATAATTTCGTTATGTTTTGAATAACCTACAATAAGTTGATTTATATTTCAAATGAAAGGTTTCGAAATGCAAATAAAAAATAAAAAACATATTCTGGATGTGATTCAAAATTGAAATGGAGTGTAACATATTCATACATACGAATGTATCATATTTATGCATTTTTTGCACAGTGTAATTACCAACAAGTGGAAGAAATAATCAATTGGTATATTGAATAATTTAATATATTTCGTTACAATTTGAAACCATAACCATGTATATAAATACGCTTTAAAACCCAATAGACGCTACTTGCTTAAACACAACACTTTTGATGTAATAAAACCTTAATAGTATATACGATATTTGAAATGGATGTATCAAGGAAAATACACAGATAGATAATATGGTATATTATTAGTAATTTTTGGTCAAAATTAATTTTTGAATGCGAAATTAATGAATGCCCATATTTTCTAGCGCAATAACCGAAGTGTATTTCCCTTGAATAATCAAACGACGAGGTAGTTTTTAAGGAAAAGTAGGTTTTTCATAAAAAAAAACATTTTCTTTAAAAACGAACCTTCTATATACATAATAATGACGGCGTATTCGAAAAATATGTTTGCGTATGAAACCAAAGAGATATGTTCAGATTGTATGGGTATTTGAATATTTTGTCGTCAGTTTTATTCACTACAATATATTTAATTATAGTTATTATTCGCATAAAAGCACAAATTTTGGGCTGTAAATATTCAATCAATTTGAACATATCTAAAGTTTCACACTCAAGAAAAAAAAAAATGAAGTAATTTCATTGAAATTAAAATGATGACTACAACTATGTGTAATCTATTTAATTCAATATGTTAATTTTACAAATTTATTAAAAACACTGTGCAACAAAGGGTTTTTGTGATTAAAAAAAAAAAAAACAAAAATAATAATAATTAAATGTATATGTATTCGAACGAACGTTTAATAGAAATAGTCCATCTAAATTAAAAAAAAAAAAACACAGTTTTCTGTTTTGTTGCACAGTGTAAAATCTGTATTTATACCCTTCACCACACTGTGGTACAGGGTATTATGTGTTTGTGCATATGTTTGTAACAGGCAAAATGAATCGAGATAGACCCATGGTTCCTTTTGAGAATATGCATAGAATCACTTTCTGGGTCGATTTATGCATGTCCGTCCGTTCGTCCGTCCGTCTGTTGATGTAGAGGTCGCATTTATAACCCGATTTGGCTGAAATTTGGTACAACTCATTTATTTGGCTCAAGGACGAACCCTCGTGAAAATTTCGTGAAAATCGGTTCAGATTTAGATATAGCTCCCATATATAGTTTCGCCCGATTTTTGGTAAATGGTACACCAAAGTACCTGAAAATCTTTCGATTTGCACGAAATTTTGCATAGCGTACTGAATTAAGTCTAGAATGATATGTGCTAAGTTTCGTGAAAATCGGTTCAGATTTAGATATAGCTCCCATATATAGTTTCGCCAGATTTTTGATAAATGGTATACCAAAGTACCTGAAAATCTTTCGATTTGCACAAATTTTGGCATAGCGTACTAAATTAAGTCTAGAATGATGTGTGCTAAGTTTCATGAAAATCGGTTCAGATTTACATATAGCTCCCATATATATTTTCGCCCGATTTTAGGTAAATGGTGCACCAAATTCCCTGAATATCATTAGATTTGCACGAATTTTGGCATAGCGTACTGAATTAAGTCGACAATGATGTGTGCTAAATTTCGGGAAAATCGGTTCAGGTTTAGATATAGCTCCCATATATAGTTTGGCCCGATTTTAGGTAAATGGTGCACCAAAGTCCCCGAAAATCATTAGATTTGTACGAATTTTGGCACAGCGTACTGAATTAAGTGTGGAATGACGTGTGATAAGTTTCGTGCAAATCGGTTCAGATTTAGATGTAGCTCCCATATATAGTTTTGCCCGATTTTAGGTAAATGTTCCATCAAAATCTCTGCAAATCTTTCGATTTTCACGAATTTTGGCGTAGCGTACTAAATTAAGTCTAGAATGACGTGTGCTAAGTTTCGTGGAAATCGGTTCAGATTTAGATATTGCTCCCATATATAGTTTCGCCCGATTTTAGGTAAATGGTACACCAAAGTACCTGAAAATCTTTCGATTTGCACGAAATTTTGGTATAGCTCCCATATATAGTTTCGCCCGTGCACCAAAGTCCGCATATATATTTCGATTTTGGGATAAGGTGCTGAATTAAATCTAGAATGATGTGTGCAAAGTTTCGTGAAAATCGGTTCAGATTTACATACACATCTATATATATTCCCGTCCGATTTTAAGTAAATGGTGCACTAAAGATCCATAGCTAGGCCGATTGACACAACGTACTGAAGTTAATATAAATTAATCTCTGATAAGTTTCCTTGAAATCGCTTCAGATATAGATACATATGCTGAATATACCCAAAGTGGTGAAGGGCATCATATAGTCGGCCCAGTCCGACTTTAATACTTTACTTACTGGTTTTTATTGTAAATTATCCACTTTTTTTTAATAATGGTCTCTGTTTTTTTCTTTCTTTTCATCATTTTTTTGCAGGCATTCCTCTACTACAAGAAGACAGTCCAGTTCATCAGCCCGGCATATTTGCATTGCAATAAAATTTATTTACTAATTCGTCAATAAAAACAATAATAAGTTCAAAACAATTCAAAGAAGACAAAACAAAAGCAACAATTTTTATGATGTGTGTAAACAATTAAAACGACAACAACAACTAACAGCAAACCAGGTTTTCTTTTTTGTAATGCGTTTTAAAAACAACAACAGCAACAACAATTAGTTACAACTAAGTCTATATTAAATATTACAACAACAGAATAAAAGGCTAACAGGAAAAAAATACCTTTTTAAGTTGAAGAAAATTAATAAAGATTTTATTAGAGAAGGAGGATTTTATAGTAGTTCCAGATTTCGCAGAAAAAAATAACTATATAAATTCAAAGTAGTAAACGAACTTATTGTGCCGAACGCGAAAGTGGTTTGCCTTTTTTATAAATTTCCCTCCCCAGAAGAAAATTAAAAAGAAATCCGAAAAAATCAAATTTTAGCTTTTGCAAATAATTTAATGAAAACAGCAATTAAGTGACTCAGTTTTTCTTATTCAATTAAGAGAATATTTGTTCGCATATTTTGCTCAGAGACATTCATTGAAAGGAATAGTTTATTTGTCTCAAACACACACACACACACACACACAAATTCTCAATAATAGCACCAATTTAGAAAAGACTTCAACAACAAGCAATATCAAAATCTCAAAACCCAAAAAAGTTTTTTTCTACAGCAGAGACACCAGGAAAAAATCATAGCTTAACACATACAAATTCTCTTACAATCATACCCACACACATACACTCACTTTGACAATATCAAAAAGCAGTTTAGAGGGATGCGTGATCAAGGTCTAGGACATTTATAAATAACAAAAAAATAATTCAATACATGGAACAATTTTTCAACATTAAACTCTCCTTCACAACCAACCAAAAACCAGCAGCAACAACAACAATAAAATATTGAAATAAATAGGCAATATTCTCTAAAAAAAAACCAACTAAAGAAAGGATTTAGAATACAATCAAATAACAATTAAATAAATTAATTAATAATAGGCAGCATCTACAGGATTAAGTCAAACTTATCAACTCGAAAAAATTAACAAGGAGATACAGTAATTATACCTTAATATAAAAAGGCAAAAAGGGAAACAAGTCCACAATTTCTGTAAACAATATTAAAATAAAAAAAAATAAATAATTCTAGAATATTTAGAAAAAAAACAAAAACCATCAACAGAAAAACAATTGAAAATATTTTTTGGCAACCCTTACTCATTAAATGTAATATAAGATCCTCTCCCCGCCACCTTTGTGTCGTTCCTCTTAGGGATATAAAACGCTAACAAAAAATTATAACCTATAAACAAACACACACACAAATACATACATCAAAAAAATTATTATTATCTCAAAAAAAAGAAATACTAGAAAAATTATATTAAACTTGGATTATGCTTGGAAAGCTTAAAAACAAATAAAGAATAAAATTTTCAAAAAATAATAAATAAATAAAAACGATAAGGCTTTAGCAAAATTTTAAATTGAAATTGAAAAGAAAAAAAAACGAAATACAATTTGTTTTAATTCCATACACCATCTAAACACTCATAGACAGACAAAGTAATTCATTTAAAGTCGTCGCCGTCGCCAATTCTCGCCATCATGAAGAAGAGTAATACCGCCAACACAATCCTGTCGTCACTACCGACCAGTCCGACAATATCGGCTCACAATCACACATACACCGGTGGCAGTAAGGCCAGTCTGCATAGCAGCCGTTCCAGTCGCACGTCGCTAAATCAGTCATCGGCCAATGTTAAGAGCAATAAAATCGATTTGGAAATTGAAAGTATTTTGGAAAAGGCCAAATTCTATACATCAGTATGTTTGGGTAAGTGTGATGCGACATTTACAGAGGATATAGAACACCTTATGTTAGGACATTAAAAATATGTGAGTCAAATTTTGGCCGCCTATGTCAAGTGGTTCGCCAGTTTATGAGTTTATACCCATTTTGGGGTAAATACTCAAAAGGAGGTATCTATATATGGGGGCTACGAGAAACCGTGGACCTACGTTTGTAAATTATTGCGTGGATATTTGATACCCATTAAGAACTATCTGTGCCAAATTACAGCCAATTTGATGGTAAAATGTGTTTAATAGACAAAAATACTTTCAATCAGGAGGTACGGTTATATGGGGGCTATATCAAAACTTGGACCCAGAGACCTCTTTTTCCATACCAGTATTAGTTTTGTCATTAAAAACATATGAGCCAAATTTTGGCTGTCAATATAAAGTGGTTCACCAGTTAATGAGTTTATATCCAATTTTTGGGTAAAATAGTAGTACCTTTGTAAGGGGGCTACCAGAAAACGTTGACCTTCATCGATAAATTTGTGCATGGCACCCATAGAGAACTCTCTGTGCCAAATTAAAGCCAATTTTATTGTTAAATGTGGCTAATAGGCAAAAATAACCTAAAAAGGGGGGGGGGGGGGGGGGCAAAAGGAAACGACGGTTAAATTGGGGCTATATTAAATCATGGACCCAGGGCACAGTGCAAAGCCCATTTATGATCCGATTTGGATGAAATTTGGCGAATCCTATTGTACTGAATTGAGTCTATAATGGTGTGTATTAAGTTTCGTGAAAATCGGTTCAGATTTAGATATAGCTCCCATATATATTTTCGTCCGATTTTAGGTAATTAGAGCATCAAAGTCCCTATATATCCTTCGATTTGCTCGAAATTTGGCACAGTGTATTGAACTGAGTCTAGAACGGTGTGTATTAAGTTTCGCGAAAATCGGTTCAGATTTAGATATAGCTCCCATATATAGTTTCGTCCGATTTTAGGTAAATAGTGCACCAAAGTCCCTATATATCCCTCGATTTGCACGAAATTTGGCATATCGTACTGAATTGTGTCTAGAATGATGTATATTAAGTTTCATGAAAATCGGTTCCGATTTATATATAGCTCCCATATGGCGCTCCAAACTCCTAATGTTTGTCCGATTAACACGAAATTTTGAACAATGTATCAAATTCGGACTTGAATGACGTTATTGCCTTTTGTTGAAATTGGTGCAGATGCAGCCATAGCTTCCATATGTATTTCGAACGGGTATCTGATTGAAATTAAATTTTTAACAGTGCGGCGTACCGAATAGCGTGTATCAATTTTGCTATAAAACGTTTTCCATAAATTTGTCCCATGGTACCAGACAACTCCAAATCTGCCCGAATGAAATTAAATTTATTTATCGATTGACATGCAAATGTAAGGATACATATGCGCAATATACACAAAGTGGTGAAGGGTATGATATAGTCGGCCCAGTCCGACTTTACTATTTTCTTTACTGGTTTTATCATTAAAAACATGCAAACCAAAATTTTGCGCATATGTCAAGTGGTATGCCAGTTAATGGGTTTATACTTGCTTATTTACCCATGTATTTACCCACGTTTTTAAATCGATTTGATAACAGAAACCCGGAAATGGGGTGTAAGATGTTAGGGTATAGGGTATTTCCAATTTACCAGGTATTTCCCCTTTGGGTATTTACCCACTGTCCATCTCTACACATGAAGGTCCCAATCCAATTTTATATCCTCCTCCTTATGGCTAATGAGGGTATATACATTTTAATACGGCGACAATGTACTTCATCGAACATTTGGTTTTAGACCCCATTTTTCTTTGGACCAAATCCGTTTCCAGCAACTTGGATTTGGATTTGCAAATGTCGGTCCGTCTGTCTGGCTAAAGCGCACGATAAGTCTCGAAAGGATTTACCCATTTCATTCAAACTTTACACATCGTAATATTTCTTCCAAACTTAATTCAAATTTGGAAATGGGGAAAATCGGTCCACTGGTACCACCCCCGCAAAATGTTCAAAATTTTGCTGAAAATTAATTGTATAGTATTATGCAATCGAACTATCCGATTACCACCTAGACCAATTCAGAAGTTAGAACCCATTGGTTCACTTCTTCCGGTACCTCGTCCACAAAAGGTCAAAAATTTGCAATTTTTATAAATTCAATACTAAGTTCATAAAATGTCCGATTACAAAAAAAAAACTTTGCACAATCTTAGATCGAAGATGGGTCCCATTGGTCCAGCCTTTCTGATACCCCCTCTATAAATGGTTACAATTTTCAATATTTATAAATCCAACATCAGGCTAATGCAATGTCAGATTAGATCCAAACTTTACACAACCTCTTATCTTTGTCAATCTAAGATCTAGTTCGTATATGGGACAAATTGCTCTGCCCCATCTGATATCTTCCCCACAAATGATCAAATTTTTAAATGTATATAAATTCAATATTAGGCGAAAGGATTGTCCGATTTGAACCAAAATTTACACAACCTATTATCATTACCAAGCCTAGATCAAGTGTGAAGATGATACCCGCCGGTCCTCTCTTTCTGGTACCTCCCCCACAAATGGTCAATATTTTATAAAATTTTAAATTTAATTTGAAGTCAAATGAATATCCGATTTGATCAACAATAAATCTTAAACCTCTTCTTCGAAAAAAATTGTCAGTATAGGTTCATGTTCTGACATTGCTTTCAAGAGAAGGTCCCAACCCATTTCAGACATATTTAGGAACCTAAGTCCTTTTCATTTTAGGTTGTTAAATTGTACAAAAATTTGTTCGCAAAATAATGTTCAATGTAGATCAATGTTTTAGCATTAACTTCTAAGCGGATACGGGGGCGTCCACCAAATTAACGTCAATATATGTGTCGCAAATTTCCCTTTAAGTGAAGTGGGTCAGGATCTATGGGCGTTTTCAGTTAGGAAAGGCGTTGTTTGTCCAAGTTGCTTTTAATAGTGATGTTTTGCGACATGCATGCAGTCTCTACAATGACTTCCTGTGTATCCAAACTCACCCAACACCCTGGGGTTATCGAAGGCAGATTTCTCTTTAAGTGAATAGGACAACTTTCACGAATAGGACAACTTTCCTCCAAGGGATTTTTGACCTCGAAAATATACCCACCCCCTGTTTTAGTACAGTTGCTTCGAAGAGAAAGTAAATAGCGCTCCAGTATACGGTATTCTTGAGAGTCGGTGATCGTCTCTTAGGTTCCCCCAATTTTCTGAATACTAACATGAGATTTAGTTTGTTTGTCTCCTGTGGGGAAAAGACACTAGCTTTCAGATTTGTCAAGGTTTCTTTTGGCAGTTATTGCTGCCGACTTCTTCTTTCGTGCAGTCCGATTAGTCCTTTTGGAATTCTCGGACTTTACATATATTCTAAGGCTTCACTCGCCTTCAGGATGCTAGAGTCAACTTTGCCGCTCTTATTCTATGGATTCTAGTGGCAGTCACGTTTAATTTTTGGTTGCATCGGTTTTTTCTCCTCTTCTGGAAACTTAACCCTTTTTACTGCTTTTGAAGAAGTTTCATCTGGTCGGTTGCTGCTTTTTCTTGTTGTGAGCTTGTTAGTATCCTTCCTCCATTCTTCCGCCTTCTTATCAGTGTCTTTGATCCTCCGACATTTTAAGATGGTTATGCCAGTTTTACATTCTTACTCAGACTCGTAGTAATTTCTTCCTCGGTGGTTATTGATTTTATATTTTTTTTTTTGCCTGATGGTTGCGTGGATGTAGATATAACCACGACTACAGATTCCAAGACCGACATAAATAAACCAGCAAGGAAAGTAGTAAAGTAGGACTGGGCCGACTATATGATACCCTTCACCACTTTGGGTATATTCTGCATATGTATCCTAAAGGACGTAGATTTCAAGGAAACTTGCCAGAGATTAATTTATATTAACTTCAGTACGTTGTGTCAATCGGCCTAGCTAGGGGTCTTTAGTGCACCATTTACTTAAAATCGTACGAAAATATATATTGGAGGTGTTTGTAAATCTGATCCGATTTTCACGAAACTTTGCACACATCATTCTAGACGTAATTCAATACGCTATGCCAAAATCTAAAGATATAGGGGGCTTTGGTGCAGCATTTACATAAAATGCAACAAAAATATATAGGGGGGCTATATCTAAATCTGAACCGAGTTTTACGGAACTTTGCACACATTATTCTAGACTTAATTTAGTACGCTATGCAAATCAAAAGATTTGCAGGGACTTTGGCGCACCATTTATCTAAAATCGGGTGAAACTATATAAGGGAGCTATATCTAAATCTAAACCGATTTGCACGAAACTTATCACACGTCATTCTACACTTAATTCAGGTCGCTATGCCAAAATGTGTGCAAATCTAATCATTTTCAGGGGCTGTAGTGCACCATTTACTTAAAATCAGACGAAACTATATATGAGAGCTACATCTAAATCTGAACCGATTTTCATGAAACTTAACACACATCATTCTAGACCTAACTCAATAGTTTATACCATATTTCGTGCAAATCGAAAGATATATAGGGACTTTGGTAGACCATTTACCTAAAATCGGGCGAAACTATATATGAGAGCTATATCTAAATCTGAACCGATTTTTCCGAAATTTAGCACACATCAGTGTCGCCTTAATTTAGTTCGCTATGCTAAAATTCGTGCAAATCTAACGATTTTCAGGGACTTTGGTGCACCATTTACCTAAAATCGGACGAAAATATATTTGGGAGCTACATCTAAATCTGAACCGATTTTTCCCAATTGCTATAGGGTTCGTCCTTGGGCCAAATCAATAGGCTGTGCCAAATTTCATCGAATTCGGATCATAAATGCGACATGTACTTTGCTCACAAAAGTACATGGACGGACGGACAGACGGACGGACATGATTGGATGTGGGTTTGCAGCAAATTAGCGATATGTAGGAATTGTCAGCTCACGATCGTAGGATGTCGATGAGGTTTGACATATGGCCAGATCAACAACACCCGCAGATACTGGGTTATTTAGGCCCTGTACCATATACTTATCATTCAGGAGTTCTTCATTTAGGAGTCAGTTTTCTTCCTCATTTCCTCCAGATTTAACTAGTTGTATAATTGTTTTCATAATTGTTTTCATTTGAGGGAACTTATATTTACCGAAAAAAAACTAAATTTAGTTTAAAGGGGTAATTTTATGACATTTTTTGTTTTTGTCTCTTTTACAGGTACCACAGCTATATTGTCGGTTTTTACATTTCTATTTTTAATACCATTCGTTGTTGATCCCGCTATATCAACGATAATTGCCGATTATGATCCAGTGCCGGTCACATGCATTGTCATTGAACATATTCAGGCTGCTGGCATTAAAAATTGTACCTGGAGCTCATGTCGAGAGGGCTGTACATCATCACCCAACAAGTAAGTTAAAAATTGTATACAATATTTAGAAAAAATTCATATTAAGTATTTCTTTTCTCCAAATAGATGTCACCAATTGTATGTTAATTATACCCGAATACCATTCCATGAATGGGAGAAAAATCCCCGTGATTTGGAAACCGTTATATGGGATGTTAGTTTTACCCGGTTTCTTATAAATTCGGAAGGATGTGGTTATCCCCCAACCACAAATTGCAGTGTCTTTGCCCAGCAGTATGGGTATGATGGACTTTCATGGCAATTATTGAAAATTTGAAATTTTGATTTTAATTTTTTTGTTGGTGTTTCAGTTTTTCACACATTGGAGAACCATTCCCCTGCTATTACAGTCGTGCCTATCCTGAGGTGGTTATTGGCCGTTATTCATGGGAAAATAATTTGGTTCACTTGTTGCTGTCACTGATCATACCGACGGTCTTGTTTGCCTTATCTATTGGCGTTCTCAGCTATTGGTATTGTCCATGCTGTGATAATGCCTGCAATAAATCGTCAAGGGTCTATGCTGAGAAATTCCCCACAAAGGAAGAGTGAGTGCAAAAAAAAAAAAATCAAATATAGCAAAACAAATAACATATGTAACTCCCTCCCTCCCCAAAACAAAAACGAAATTACCAATTGAAAAAAAAACAATTCAAATCACTTTTAATCTTTTCCAACTATTCTATCAAAATCTGGCCACCAGAACCCTTCATCCTAACACAAAACACACAATTTTCTAAATATTAAGTAACAAAACAAAAATAGTAATTATTAAAATTGAGTTGTTTTAATTGGAAATTGTTGTTAGTGTTTTATTTTTTTATTAGTATATTAACAAAAAAATGTATGGCTTGTGCCTTATAGAGAAATAAATATATAAATGTTTTTATTTTTTTTTTTTAATATTTATGAGTAATATTATTTTAGTTAAAAGCAACACAAATCATTTCAGCGTTAATTGTAGATGTTAAAGGCATTTTTATACCCCACACAACTATGTTGTCAGGGTATTATAGCTTTGTGCAGCCCCAAGAGTTTGTAACGCCGCGAAATATTGGTCCTAGACCCACCTTTATGTATACCGATCGTCCTATCTCGACTAGCTGAGTCGATCTAGACATGTGTGTCCTTCCGTCTGTCCGTCTGTCCATTATAATTTGTAAACACGATGCAGGCCACAGTTATTGACCAATCTTCACGAAATTTTACATGTAGGATGGGTTCTGTCCAATGAAGACCCCTATTGTTTTTCGGAAAGATCGGTTAATATTTAGGGGATGAAATGGACCAAATACTTAATTTTCATCGGTTTTTCTGGTCGCTCTAGAGGCCGCAATTATGACCCAAACATAGCGAATTTTTACATAGAGAAGGGGATCGGGCCAAAAAATAAGCATGCCTGTTTTGATAAGGATCGGTCAATATTTAGCGGGTCAAATGGACCCTGACTTTTGTGTGAAAAATTACAAAATGTGTATTCTATAGAGTGTAGATTTACCCCTGAAGGACATAGACCCGAAAAGTTTTTGGTACATCCAAGGGCAGTGGTTGACCTTTAAATTGATACCAAATATATGGTCGTATGTACTCAGATGTGGGAGTTACACATAAATATTTATAGATGCTTATGTATTCAGATTTTATTTAGTAACCCTATATAACCGCTATATTTCCGCCCTCTAGTGTGGTAACTAGAGGGCGGAAATATAGCGCTGATGCTTTAAAATGTTCCATGAAGTTCCAGTTATGGTCAAGGATAACGCCTACAATTTTCGGTGACGATCAGATAATTATATTGTTATGAAGTGGACCGAAACTTAATTTTTTGTGTTTTTTCGAGTCGATCTATAGGCTCCAATGGGAATAAGAAGATCACAACACAAGGGAAGGGAATTTTGACAATTAATTAGAAGGGCTGTACTGAACATTAGTAATAATTGTCGGTCTCTAGATGGTCCAGATGGTTCAAAAATCGCGAAATATTGCCCAAGCTCAGAATATAGATCCACAGAAAGTTAGTTTTTCGTGGAAGTTGTGTAGGGTATCATATGGTCGGCCCCGTCCGACTGTATCATATAGTCTGATTTATAAATATGATTCTGGTTTATAAATATGATTCTGCACAATAATTCCGAGGCAAAATGTATAATATTTCATTCGAAAATCTAAATTTTCCCAACAGAATGCATTATCCGAAAATCTGAATATATTACGGATATTAGAACCTCAATCTAAAATAATTATTGGAAAAGATATCATCGACTTTGAAAACTTTAGAAACACATAACATGGACTGGGACCTTTACATATGAGTTATGTCAAAAATTGACCCATATTTCAAATTTTAGATAGGAGATCTTTAAGCGCAAGTATGACAACTGTGTGCACAGCTGGAAAATGAATTGAAAAAGTAAACGACAAAATTAAGAACCAAAATCCTTTGCTTCGGTTAAAAAAAACAACCAAACTTATCTAAAGATTTAAATCTGAAATAATTGTGTTGCAAACTTTTGACATTATTTTAGTTTGTTAGTTTTCCATTATCTGTGTTATTTTTATATATTTTATATAAAATACTAGTTTATATATTGACTGCTTTAATTTGTCATATACATTTAATAAGTAGTGAAAATATATGTTTTCCCCCCTGAATGTAAAAATACCAAAATAAAATTTTATTTAATAGCATGCCCTGATTGTTACTCTATTGATTGGATATTTACAATATTAAAAAAATTTATTAAAGCTGTATTTACTAAATGATTTCGAAATATTTCATAATTTTTTAAACAACTGTTTAAATGTTAAGCATGCCGATTTTAATACATTTCTCAATAAAGTTTTTTCTAAGTATTCAAATATTATTGTTATTGAGCAAAATAAATATTGATTATAAATAAGTTTGCATTAGTGTTTTTTAATATTTAATTAGTTATTTATTATTAATTTTTAAAATGTTTTTATTAAAGAAATAATAAATGTGATTTTTAGTTGACACTTTGAAAAAAAAAATGTGATATGTGCCTTAGGAAACTGTTCATAACCAACACTATTATGTCCGTCATGTTAACGGTCCATATATATTAAATTTTGGAAATCCTATGTTGCTCTATTTTCCTGTATTTAAGCTTCAAAATGTGTATTAGAGTCAGGGCGTACGAAGTTTGATAAACAAACCGTTATCTTAATTTTTTTAGGTTTTTAATTCGTAAATAACTATCTTGTGTCCCTTTCAATGCCATCCCCCTCAGATATAATATCCTTTTGCCAGTGATATTTTCAATCCTCGAAATGATTCTGAACCACGTTTTTTACTGTCAATAGCTCCTTTTTCATTTTGTCTTTCTTGCATTGTTGTCTACTGTTTTGGTAAGAGGGAAATATCACCAAGGGCCAAAACCGATGAATACGATAGTCCGGAAGAAACTCACACAAAAAATGGTTCGTTATCATGGAGCTGTTTTTTCTGTCTTGACTCTTGTAGAAGTTTCCACTGGGATCAATATCATAGTCATACATTGCTTCAATGTTTTCATCAGTTGTTGACGATGCACCAAAGGCTTTATTAAAATATATTTTTTGGTATCCACAACAGGATTCAAATTTATAAAATATTTTTTTCCGGATCTGACGAATGTATATAATATTAAAGATATATTAAAATAATAATATTGAAAACTATTTTCCGGATAAACTAAAATTTTAATATTTCCAAAAAAAAAAAAAAAAAATGTAGGGAACATACCACAAGTGTACCTATACCGACATTTAGTGTACCCATACCGACGATTATGGTTCTAAATATTGGTCCCAGACCCCATCTTTCTTTGGACCAAATTTGTTTCAAAAAAATTTGATTTCATCCAAACTTTGCCCATCTTATTATTTCTTCCAGAATTAGTTCATGCTTCAACATGGGGAATATCGGTCCACTCCTTCTGGTACCTCCCACACAGGTGTTAGGCCTATATGCGGGTTACAGTTCATATATATGCATATATATATATAAGGTTAATTACACTGTGCGACAAATTTGAATTTTTTTGATAATTACCGGGAAATTCCAACAATTATGAAAGAGGGGCTAAAAAAGAAGACATGTATCGGCGTTTTGAAAGTTTACGTCGGAAGGGGGGACATATTCCCCCTTTTCTAGAATTTTTATAATTTTCGAATTATGATTTCATGAAATCCTTTCATTTTAGGTATATAGTGTCTTCAGCAATATTACTGATAAAAAATCGGGGAATATTTTGCTATACAACATTAACCCTCAACCGACTCATTAAAGGGGTCTTTTCGTTATTTATTATTAATTTTTTTTCCAGGAGTGATTGAAAACTCATTCAAAACGGGGTTAAATCTGCTCAGAATATTCTACAGAAATGTTTGCCATAAAATTTTACTATAAGTCTCAGAATAGACTAAAACTCAAAAATCAGTCTAAACGTCAAAAATCTTAAAAAACAATAACTAGTTTTTACCCATTTTTCCCACAAGATGTCAGAAGGATAGTATAAGGGACAAAAATATTCTCCATCAATTTTTAGCATAAGTCACTGAACAAGAGAAATCTGTATATATAATGTATATACCGAATATATAGTCATACATTTTGAACCAAAAAATCAAAATGTTCTTGTATTTTTTTACGAAGACATTTCCCAGCATTAAAGTAACATGAAACTTAATTTTGGTATATAAAAAATCCACTTCTAGTCTCAGAATAAACTATATATTTATATTCAATAGACTCTTAGAACCAAACCCAAACACGGAACAAATCATATAACTATTATAATATAAAAAAGGGGAACGACCCCAAAAAAGGGGCGAATATTAAAAATTTTTGGTAGGGAGATTTGTTAACATATACGACTACAAAATACCAAATTGCAGCGAATTCGGTTGAAAAGCGCCCTCAAGAACCCTAAAATACCGAAAATTTGGGGGGTACCCTTATATGGAGGATATCCGAAAAAATTGACCTATATTTATAATGTTTTATGAAGAGATTTGGTACCTATTAGGAACTCAAAATACTAAATTACAGCCAATTCGGTGAAAAAATACGATCAAAAACACCCAAAATACTGAAAATTAGGTGGTACCATTATATAGGGGCTACCAGAAAAAGTGGACCTATATTTATAATTTTTTGTGGAGACATTTAGTACCCAGTAAGAACCCAATATATTAAATTTCAGCGAATTCGGTTGAAAAACGCGCTCAAGAACCCCAAAATACCGAAAATTGGGGGGTACCCTTATGTGGGAGCTATGCCTAAACGTGGACCGATATATTCCATTTTCGAACTTGACCTGCTTGGAGACAAAAGACAACCCTATACAAAATTTCAGCAGCCTATCTCAATTCCTTTAAAAGATAGCGTGATTACCACAGACGGACAGGGACGGACATGGCTAGATCGTCATAGAATTTCACCCTGATCAAGATATATACTTAATAGGATCCCTTTCGATGAGTTACAAATGGAATGACAAAATTAATATACCCTCCATAATTTGGTGGAGGGTATAAAAATTGT